TTAAACTACATCACCATTTGTTCATAAAATCATAATTTCCATCCAACTTCTAAAAATATTAATAGCGATTATAAACTTAATGATAGACTATAATATTGTTGGCTAGTAATAAATATAGATATAAATATATAATAGTAAATATTTGGAAATGTTCGAGTGTTCAACTTGTCATTCCGTTACCCGTATGTCTATATAATATTACTAGCTGATCCCCGTGTACTTCGTCTCCCGATAAATGTATCAACTCAATATGACTCAAACTTTGTTCAATTCGTTATTCAATATTCGGTGTATGGTGTTCAAAATTTATCTTATCTTTTCCGTTGCCCTTAATAAAAATTCTGAATCGCAGCAGTACATTATCAGGTAGGCAATCTACCTGCGGTAGATCGCGGACCCCGTGCTGTTTATACGGAAGTGTATGATTTAACTCTAAAGTATCAAAGTTATACCAAGTTTATTTTGATATAATACGGTGGATTAATATAACAAATTTGGTTGCTCGTAAAAAATCGCAACTCTTAAAAAAATTATGATTGTTGAACTCCTTTTAGGTGTAACTTGCTGCGGTATGTGTAACTCAGCCACCTTGGTAGGCAATGTTCAATATTTCGATTTGATGCAAGCTTGTACCTGATCTGCCCGAATAACCAATGGCAACCAATAAATAAATGTTAATTTCTACTGTAGACTGTAACCAATGGCAACTATTAATAAATAAAAATAAAATTTCCAATTTCCATCGTGAATCTCAATGTCCCTGTTTGAGCACCTATTTAAAATGCGAATTTTCGCAAATCCTTTCTTATTGCACGGTGAAAATATGAGAAGAACCTCTATTCCAAATTTCAAGTCCGTACGTTGAGTAGTTTTTGAGATACAGCGATCAGTGAGTCAGTGGTATTTGGATTTTTTATGTATAGATAACTAATTATTGACTAACATTATCGGACTTTATTTATGCCTAAAACCTGCTCCGTGATATGATATTGTATGATTGGAAAAAGTGGCTGCCGGAAAGCAATGCTGACTTGTTCTGCAGCGTGCCTCCACTGCCAAGGTAAATGCATGAACAGCGTGCCTGTTGAAGATGAGGACGATGAAGAGCAAGAGGCACCCATTACTACAGACAAAGATGCAATGGATGAACAACCTGGGCCCTCAAATTCAAAGAAAATGAAAATATGATTGCATGTAAAATTAACAATTACTTGAGAACTACTTATCTGTAAAATAAAGTGTGTATTATCATTATTTTTGTCTGTTTTACTTCTTAAAAGTGTGGCCACATATATTATTACATAAACGAACAAAGGTTGTGGGTCAAGAATATGATATATACATTTTCTGAAAATTGCAAAATGTTATGAAAGTTGTAAAATAGCTATAAATTTAGGCAGCTTGGAGATTAACAATTAATATATGTGTAAATATTCTGAAAGTGAATTTAAATATCTACAACTTCTTTTCTATGCATATTTTTAGTTTATGAATAGGTTTAGACAATATGATGGATTGTTTTATGAATATAGGGAGGTAAATGGTTTTTTTTTGTAATATTATACTTTTTTCGAAGGTATAGCTCTAAAACGGTTGTGAATTCGAAAAAAACATACGATATAAAAGTTTTAGATAATTTCATGAGCTTTATTTTGTTATTTAAAAAAATTTTCCTCCGATGCACCGTTTACGAGATATAAGCGAAAAACCCAAAAAGCGCAACTTTAACCCCCCTCCCCCCCTCCGGCTCACCACCTAGGTGTCAGGACTTTTAGTATGTTAATACCCTAAGCCCCCCGAACAAGTTTCTGAAGGAATCGCTAAGTTACCTGCTCACGCACTCTACACCTCATTCCTTGACTGGACTATATAGTAGTTTTGGAATATTTTTTTTATACATAGGTAAAATGATTGAACAAACCAGTTTTTTGTTTGTACAAATGTGTTTCATATAATCGAACACCTAATGTCTTCTTATATGAAAAGGTTACATGATCATAATATGGAGATAAAATCGAAAGTTATAATGCGTAGAAAGTCTTGAAGGAGAATCGAATACCTAGGTAGATTTCTGCTGCAACAAATTTGAAATAATGGTCAAATTATGTAAAACTGTATTAGAATGACTATGGGTAAGTGACGAATATTTCACTTTATTTTATTTAAATCTTTAACAATAATGGTTAATAGTTTCTAATGTGTTTGGGTATTTAACAGTTTTTCACAATACACATGTCACATATTAACCTGAATTTCAACTTTTGTAAATATTTAAACAATCCCTCTTAAATATAAATGCACGTAAATGATTTATTTTAAAATCATATTAATTAATTAGCTTTATTACAATCATAGGTTTTAAAATGATGAACTCAAATTATTATAACTATAATATTATATGTATTATAGTTAATTCTCTAAGTAGGTACATAATCGCTATAGGTACTGGTATATTTTGATTTGTTTAACAAATATTTAATTAAGCTATTTACGGTTATATTTAATTGATTGATGTAAATAAATAAATAACTGTTATCAATTATAATATTATGTTTGGCCAGGAAACGGTTATCGTCATTTGTCACCGACAGTCGATACGGTAGGTACCAATAATATTGTATAACATCATCGACTTGTCAAACATATTTTATTATAAGTAAAATCAATTAATACAATTACTTGGAAAATGGGTTATCATCGATGACGATCGAGGACAGTGAGAAATATACTTATAACCAGGGCTTAAAACCGGTAACCGGTTTGTAACGAAAACCGGTAAAAAACCGTAAATTTGAGAACCAAAAACCGATAACCGTTCTTAGTTTTGGAATGCTGGAAGCGGTTATTGGTTATCGGTTATCAAGGTAAATATCTAAATATTAACATCAAAGCGGTTACCTCGTTTTTTCAATCCCGGTATTATAACCAAAATCTATTCCCGACCAAAAAATTAACGGTTTTTTCGTGGAATTTAATACTTGAATTATGTCATGATTACATTATAGTTGAATTTAATTTTCCAGCTATTTTTAAATTTTTTTCCCCAATTAATTGTCGTCGAGTATTGCTTATTTGTTGTGAATATCACACATATATATATATAGGTATAATTGTATTATTTGTATAACTAATATTATAACTACCGTCATAAACATCGTCGTCGTCCTCGGGCGCTGATTCCTATTACGAAATAGTTGGTGGAATAGGGGCTTAGTCCATTTAGTATTTACGACATTTTAATACTGTCTATCACACTTTATACTTTATACATTGATCAATGATATTATTTTAAAGCTGTTGTTTAAAGGGGTTAAGATTTAAATAATTTGAAGATTAACTACATATATTATACATGGAAAATAAAAATGAAGAACCCTGTTCTTGAAATGTATTTTACGTATGATATAAATAAAAAGAGTAGTACATGTAATGTAGTGGGATGTACCAAGTATATATCTGGTAAGCATTCGTCAAACTTGGAGAAACACATTTTTGCCCTTCAAAAAAATTATATATTATTTCGGTTTTTTACGGTTATAAAGAAGAAAATTATAACAATAACATTTTTTTATGCAATTTATTTTTTTGATTTATTAATATCGCCATTATCTTGATCATATGTTTTAAACTTTAAAGCAGTTTGAAAAAATAAATATTTAAATTGAAGGAAATCGACCAAATTAAAGCATATTAAGATTTTGATTTTGTAATAATAATAGTTATGTTATCAACCCACGAATAACCTAAATAAACTGTTTCAAAAATATGATAAAAAAATTTTAAAAAAATGATTTTTAAAAACCGGTTTTAACCGGTAACCGATTACCAAAAATTATAATCAACGGTTTTTAAACGATTAACGGTTATCATAGTGTTTGAAATATCTTTAAAGAAACGGTTACCGGTTTCCAAAATATCAAAATTAAACGATAACCGGTTACCGGTTTTCAAAATTTTTCGGCTCCTACCGGAGCCGATTACCGACTTGATTGATAACGGTTTTAAGCCCTGCTTATAACACAGTTTAATGATATTATTTTGTTTTCATAATTTCATTATTCTACGTACCTATAAGCACGGAATCAATTTCACATGGATTCACAGGCAACGCACGTAATAATGTCATAATACGAGGCCATAAACAATAAAATAAGACATAAGCGTCTAAATATTATAGTGTTTTTGTTTTAATTATTTAATTTACTATATGTGTAGGTGATGCATTCAAAATTAAACTGTACATGAATGTTAATGTTATTTCAAAAATAATTTCCATTTTAATCTTAAATGATACCTAGTACCCTTCATACATCCGCTATCTAATCAATAAAAATCTATTTAATATCTAGGGAATTTGTTTATATTATATTACTAATATGAACTAAAACCATTTTTGCATATAGATGTAGATCATATTTTCCTAATTTTAATATTTCGTGGAAAATATGCTCACATACAATTTGAAACACACTGTATATAAATTTCTATTGTTAATGTGTTATCACTTATTTTTTAACTCCAGATATTTGTTAAATTAACTTACCAATTTGAAAATTTAGAGCAAAATCAATGTCTGATTCAAAAAATATTTATAACACAATTGTTGAATTCGAATTTATAAACGAAGACTAACGTCACATATAAGTATTCTTAATTATAAACTAATAAGCATAAAAAAATACATTCAAAAAAACTTTTTAATTACTCACAACTTTAGGCTAATCAAACGTTATCGTATATAACGTTTCATTAGCATATTAAAATTATCTATCAAAATTTTAAATTTGTTTGTTCATTCATTCATTGATTAATATTATACTAGGTATATTTATAATATAGGTTCAACAAGTAACTAGTAAATTGCAACAAAATATGGATATAATATTATCATCTTGTTTTAAAAATAAAAATTTTAGAGTTTGAGTTGAGTTAATCAAATACATTATACTTTTTATATTAAATATTGTTATTGTTTAATTTGTTTTTACATCAATTATTATCTATTTTTCTTTTTTCTTCTTATTCTTTAAAATTATTAGTTCCTTCAATTTTTTATCGCAGAGTGGTGCAGTTACATTCCAGTTTTGTAATGATGCCGTGGAATTGTATAATTGGAGAAGTTCTAGTACTATGCCGTTGGTCCAACCGAAACCATCCTGGATTTCATATTCACCAGAACTTAGTCCCATTTGACCAGGCTCATCCACTCGGTACTGTAAAAACATTTGCCGAATTAGTATACACGATAACCAACGACAATATTATGATTTATTTAAATAAGTCTGCAGATGTAGTAACAAGTATTAAAAAATGTACAGTCTACAATTCACGTGAAACCTGCCTATCAGTTAAACCACCTAAAACATTTTCAATTACTGTCCTGCAAACCAATCGAAATATTAGTGCACACATTTTTTTAGCACCTTGAAGCATTTGTTTTAAATAACTACACCCTTATGATGGTTATGATCGTTGTGAATTATAAATATAAATTGATAATCAAAAACGGCTTAATGAAATTTATATTTATAATGAATAAATTAAATAATATTGTTTACATTGCACAGTATCCCCTTTCCACCCGATAAATTTTTTTATTCAGTTATAACTTCAAAACGCACTTACTTTTTCATACATTTTTGTATCATTGTAGAAAGGCACAAAGTTTGTGCACAACCACTTGTGTGCAATTTTGGATGCCATTGTTTGCGCATCTTTATGCCCAGTATTGTGCAATGACATCACCGCGATTTATTGGAGAGGAGGCCATGCATTGGGCTGATCCCACTGCTCGTCCGTTGACCTCAAAGTGGTCGGCATACCCCCACTTGTTTCCAGTATGTCTGTTTTATTTAAGTATTTAAGGACCATTGTCACAAAGTATTCTGTTTTTTTCTCATCATAACAGCCCGTCCATAAAGGTGATATATTTGTTGGGTAAAAATCTTTTCGTTTTATATTATTGATCAAATCGAAGTCAAACCACGATCCCACCTCCTCATCCCAAAGAACTTCCGTTAATGCTTCTTTCCACTGCAAAGAAACTATTTCATATTCCGAGGCTTTGATGGTGTTATTTATTTTTCTATAGAAATCACTCAATAACTTGGCATTCCAATATACTATTGAATTGAGATCCACCGGTACGATCGACCTAGTTTTCGAATTGACAAGTTTTCCTGCAATCATACAATGATACAATTATATTTTATTCATTGGGACATCGTATACTATCAAATTCGGAATCAAGTTTTAATTATGCGTATGACAGATACAAATAAAATAAATCCAATATGCTTTCTATAGAGTAAAAATAAAAGTATAGAAACTAATCTAATTCGAATAAATCTTCTGATTCTATACATTCGTCAATTATAGTTTCTATTATAGTATTGGCTATAATATTTAAACTGCCGCTATCTGCTACTCATATAATAAATTAATATTAGTATCTAAAACTTCAAATATTTAAATTAACTAATATTTCTAGTCTACAAATAATGTCACTCCAAGTTATTGAAATGAGATAAAAATAAAAATATATTTGACTTTATGATTATATTAATTACATTAAAATTAGTGATATTTTATTATTTTTTAAAACACATGATATTTTTGAAATGAAATAAACTGAATTATAGACAAATATTTTTATTTCTATACTTTTGTACATATTTTCTCCCACTAAAATGCTTTAAAAAAATTAAGGAAAAGTGGTCTTGAAAATATCAAGCATTAAATTAAATAAAAACTTTTTCGGGAAGACTGATGAGTAAATATTTTGTTTCAAATTTCATAATGTTCAAGGAGTTTTTTTATCGTAGTAGGTATATACTAGGTACTTACACACTGCAATTGATTTTTATATCTTTGTGAATATCGATAAGTATCTCTAATTTTTCGTCATCTCTATCTCAATTGAAATCACATTGAAGTAATACTAACATTATGTAACTATACATTAAGAGGACGCTACAAAGATATTTGTTATATCCATCTTAAAAGTGCCTACGTAACATTGCAAATGTACGCTCAGCAGATCACGTGAGTTTTATAAATTATATAAATAAATATATATACATATTATTCAGTTTTTAAGTGAGTTATGGGCATTTATAATTTACGCCATCTTATATACGCATAACTTGCTAAAAAAATTAATTATCGTAAAACCCACACACAATCACAGATAATATTCTTATCATCAAGTTTAATAATAGGTCAGTTCACTCTAATATATTTAAATTAACGGAGCTAAACGTGATCTGCTGAGCGTACATTTGATATGTTACGCTTTTTTAAGACGGAGACAACAAATGGCCGTGTAGCGACTGTAAGATTCAATATCTCAAACTCATTTCTGTTTACCCCTGTATAATTATAACTGATACCCCCCTACAAGTTACCTATAGTACCTAGTTCTACTATTAGCTGATGCGCATAAATATATTTTATAATTTTCCATTTTGGATATCCAATTTATATATCTATATATTTTTTAATATTTCTTCCTATTAGTAAATAATTTGAATTTCAATCAAAGGTGACCAGAACAGTACCTAATTAATATTTATAGCTACACGAATACGTAGTATGGACATGTATCAGATCCAAATTACAGTACCTATATGAAATCGGAAATTGTATTATCATAGGCGCAATTTGGGTTAAGCTTATGTAGGTGCTAGATTTATATCGACTAAAGTGATAAATGGTCGATTTGCCACGCACATCCCCTTCCATTCATACAACTTTATTTTATGATTTATAATACCTATCTAATATTTCATAACGCAAAAAAAATATAAATAAATGGTTAGTGTACAATTAATAATTTAATTTAATTTAAATAAATCTGTATAAAATTAACTCGAAGTTAACACGTTAAATTTGTTAAGAATACAACAGTTAAGTTAAAAATTAGTTACAACAAAAATTAACGAATTATTTCACTTACTATTAACTTAATTATAATTTTTAACTCGTTAATGCCTAGCCTATAAGCTATAATTTATTAATATGTAATATGATGTAACTTACACTATTGGTACGATTTTTAAACTATAGTTGACATACCAAAAATATCATTATTTTATACAAATGGATATAGATTTCTATTTATAATACCTATCTAATCAACAATTTTAAATACGTATATTTCTGTAAAAAGAATGTAAATATGTAATTAATAATTATAACTCCAACATGCATTTTTAATTTATTATATTTAGGTAGTTTGTAAGTATTCCGAATGAATTAATGAATTTAACACTACATGCAAGTCTAAGGACTTTTTATGCTAATTAGTTTGGAACAAATTTATTATATAGACATATAGTTATAATTAAGTAATATGTATAAGGAGAGCTACAAAGGCTAAGGCTCGAATCAAATTTGTAATTATATGAAAGAAATAATGATATCATGTTGTTGTATAACATATTTGTTCAGAGCTATACATTAAAGGTGATTTGAGCAATGTTAATGTATTTGTTAAGTGTCATAATGAGCATACCAGGTAAGTATCTTTTAAGAGAATAACAAAACTGAGATTTTTTTCTAACTTAAATCACTATTTAATAGTAGGTAGGTTTTGCGAATAGTTTTTTAAAATATACGTTTTATGCTACAGATACCTAACTATAATTAATGTATTGTTATATATTACCTACACATTTTCCGGCACACGCGTGGTATAGATAGACAGAAAAAGGCAAAATATGAATAGAGGCTTATAGAATAAAAGTGTATTTTGTAAAATAATATTAATGATAGTAAGAAATAAAAACCATAATATATACCTACATAATATTCGCTTGAGCTATATAGATACAAGGAAAAATGTTCTGCAGAGATATAAGTGCCGAGATGTAAGTACGCTGAGCCCAAATCTATTGTTTTTAAATAAATGGCGTTTTTATTTTATTTTGTTGTTATTATTACAGTAACAGAGTAAACTTATTTTACCGATTATTAAGCAAATACAGAAAGCACAATACATTGTGAACGATTTTATGCGTCGTTGGAAATATATATATAATAAATACAAAAACTAGTATTACCTTCACTTGTTCCATTTAGGATGAACCAACGGCTCGAAAAATCCCAACCAGATTCAGCTGCCGCCTTGATCTCTGAATAAAAATTTTCTTTGTCATTTTCAGTTGTAAAGTGTTTTGCCTTCAACATATCTTCCCTGTTATAAAACAAAACATATTTTGAAATTATAAAAAATTGAAATGTAGATATTTACTAATAACAGTAATAACCCAAAGTAAATAATATGTATGATTCGTAGGCAAATACGTGAATTATTAATTCCCCCCATGCTAGTGTTCAATAAGAAATAATCAGTAACATCAATTAATATTTATAAGCCCATATTTTAAATTTGAGATAACTTCTATGAAATACAAAACTGAATTTACCTGTACGATTCTGGTCGTGGTCCTGTTGAATTATCCTTATAAACTGCAAGCGTGTAATTTTTACCATCCTTATTAATTGTTACATTGTGCTGAGTCATCCAGTAATTTAATTCCACTTCCAAATATTGAATATTTTCAACAACAAATGCCATATCATTCGTTATATCAACATAACTTTTTACCATAGGGATGAGCAACGGTGGTTGTGAACGCTTACTATAGTAAATTCTACCACCGTTCGGTACGTGTCCATAAGTTTTGATCATTGAAATATAATTACTAATTAAACCTTTGGCCGTAAAATTCATTTCACATATAAGTAAACCTCTAATAATCCAGTAGGAATCCCAATAGTAAATTTCACGGAACCTACCACCTGGTATTATAATTGGATTTGGGACATAAATTAAAGAATAATTCGTGGGATTTACGCGTACGTCATCAATGATCTTTCTTCCTAATACTTTCCATTTATAATTTATTGCAGATGCCCATTCACTTAAATTTTTATCCTTAATGCTTTCAAGAAATTTTGGTTTAGAATTAAAATCAGTAGGAGTCCATGTTTCAAGTTCAGAACCTTCTTTTTCGAAACACCTTTTGATAAAACCTTCCATTGTCTCCTTGGTTGGATTATGTGTCCATTCTGTGGTGTTTAAGTATTCTGTAATATTTTTAAGGGGGCATGTAACTTTCATGTCTACAAAAGTTTTAGAATCATTGAATATTCCAAGCGTTTGTACGGTATGCAGAAATGGTCCGTTACAGTAAATTAGGCTGAAACAAACATAATGTATTTATATAACTCATGAAATTAAATTCAACTATTTTAAATTAATCTACTACTATTAATTTTATCTTAATGATATTCACTGTAACTAAATGTAAATTTCTTTTTTCAAACTATAACCTACTTTTTTTTTATATAAGACTTATTGACTAGCTGTGTTATTTTGGAAGATAATTCTTTTGAAAGTTTAAGCTTAAAGATATCAAACATAAACTATAAATACAACTTACAAGTACACATTTCATTAAAGGTTTTATCAGATATTTGATTTTTCAATTTAATAGATGTGAATAAATATATCAAATCCTTGCATAAAAGTAAATATATTTAGATATCTAATTAACTGAAACCATTTTTTTCTCGATATATTTTGGTCAGATTAAGGTTTATCTATTTGATGTACGACATAAACCTAACCAATTTTTTTATTTAAATTATGTGATAGCTATGATATTAATAAACATCGGTATAGCATTATACAAACTATCTAATATTATGTTTGTGTTTATTAATTAATAAAGAGAAAATAGATTCTGAGGATAAAAATCTATGTTTACTGTAGTTCTGAGATTATAAAATAAATGTAACTTATAAAATTATATATTAATTAAAAAAAATAATAGTATTGTCATATACACGCGTTTAGATTTATTGATAATGTCGTATTTTCCAAAACCCATTTATTGCTGAATTTTAAATACCTTCTCATAAATCATAAAGTTTAAAAATAAAACTAATAAAACTATTTGATTTTACATTTTATTTTTTTATGTTATTATTACTTCAAATAATAATACAAAGAGTAATATTATACATGTAGTACAAAAACTTTCAAAAATAAAAGTGTATTTTGTTTAAAAAAAATATATCTGGAAAATCTAGCTCAATATATAGCATTTATGTATATTTTATTGATGTGAAGGCTGTTGACCGCCTGAAATGTAAGAGAACATGTTTAAATTTTTTTTTTATTTATGCATCCATTACGTTGTTTATTTCAATTATTATTTTATTATTAGATACTCGTACTTAACTAAATTTATCTGAAAAAAATTCCCCAAAAGCATGCCTGATAAATAATTAAAATATACCCAAATATCACCCTCAAAAAATATTTTATTCATCTTAAACATTCAAGTTACTCTGTATTATCATTCAAAAAATCAGTGACAAGTGACAACTGAATGCGCTAAAGATAATACAATGATATAGGCCAATATAATAAAGAGTATAGAAGTGTATCTGATATTATGGATCACTGCAATGACATATGATTTATGTATATTATAGATAAATGGGTACCTACTACCTACTATCTATAATCGTGCGTGATTATAAGGGAAAAAGTAAAATGTAAAATCGTAATTTATGCTATCATCATTCACCACAATAATGATTATAACAGGTCATAAAATACTTATATGCAATGCTCGGCATTAACGAGTTAAAAGTTAAAATTAAGTTAAAACGTCAAGTTAATTTTAATTAAGTTAATTCACACGTTATTTTTTTTTCAAATTAACTTTTAACTTAATAAGTTACTTTTTTTTAAGATTAATGTGTTAACTCCAAGTTAATTTTATTTCAAAAGTATCTAAATTAAGTTAATTTTCGAATGGGTTTTTACTTTGATGTATCATTTTAAATTTCCCCAGTAATTTGCTTGAGCATAAAGAAAAATTATCTGATTAACAATATTATTATATAACGGGTTAAATAAAAAAAATACGAGTAACTTTTAACTTATAAATTAACGAGGTAAACAAAATCTTTATCTTGCCCAGCCTTGCTTATAAATATTGTACAATTTGATTATTATTCTATAATGTGCACATGGGATATCCTACAATACACTCCATGACTCCGAGGAATGGCCCTATATTACATTGTACTTAATTTTTTTTTTTTTTATAAAATTACTGATTATTAAACAATTTCAACCATTGAACTTAAATGCTGAATGATAATACACCTTTTAAATTTTAAATTTTGTTTTAAATACTCAACAAGTTATATACCTAGGTACGAGTAGAATTTATTCGTTTGTATCCATATTTTGTTATGAGAGTCAAAGATTAAATTATAAAGAAATTGTCAATATTTCAAAAAAAATGTAATTATTTTGTTATTATAATTAATGTATACAAACTTAATTTTTATAGGTAAGGCATTAAAATTGAATACGGATTTCCTCATAGATGAAACCCAAAAATCTAACCAAAAATATTTTAACAATTTTCTTTTTTAGTCATTAAATTTAAAATTATGACAAAACTGGATTTTTAAATGAAGAATTACTTATTATTTATTTTAATTCAAAAATAATAATCGTGAGGACTTGAAACTTTTACATAGGTATATGGTACATCATTTGACTTTAGGTACACAATGGAATTAAAAAAAATCATTAGATTAATTTAATCAAACAGTTTCAATGACTTTTACACACGTTAATAAATAAGTATTTATATTTTATAAATTTGCGATTATACTTATTTATTTATTCAAATTGTATTTTACACAAGTTAATAAATAGGTATATACATTTTTTAAATTTGTATTTATTTTTATTTATTTATTCAAATTGAATTTTTCCTTGGATAAGTGTCCGTAAAAAAAGTTTTCGCGGTCCGCCAGTTGGTGACCCCTGCTTTAGAATATAAATACAGTGATACCTAGATAACTCGAACGCCTATATAAGTCGAATTTTCAATAACTCGAAGGAATAATATGTTCGCGCCTGCATTTGAAGTACACTCAATTTTTTCTATAACTTGAATTTTTTTTTCTCCCCAACCGATTCGAGTTATCGAGGTTTCATTGTATATATTCACATGAATATCAAATAGATATTTATGTTTCATTTTTTTTTTGTAAGGATTAATGCCGGATTGCATGAACAATGACTAAACATTTATTGAATCAATAGTGGGATAATTGTTACTTAAACATGAATCAGTGGCCCGTGGTTGATTGGTTCAATTTTTAAACGATTAAATGAATCAATATTTCATGCAACCCAGCATAAGAGTTTTTACAGTATAATACAAAATTCCCATACCTATATTAAAACATAAAGAAGTAGCGAACATTTTAAAATATATTGTATAAAATACCTTACCTAATTGTATTCTAAAACTTTTGTCAAAGTTGATATATTATTTTATGTTTATGTATTTCCCGGGATGTCCAGTTACTATTCTACATTTAAGTACCTATGGTTATTATTTTAGTTTTTTTTTCTAGATTACCTATGGAGAAAAAATATTTTTAATTTCACAAGTCAAAATTATTCTTAAAAAATGTATTCAAAAATCAAATATAATTTTCCAATTATATAATATTTATATGTATTATATTAAGTTGTAACAATAGCGTCCAATTGTATATAGATACCTATTAAATATATTATAATAAAATGCTAATATTCCAAATTGTCATCTCCGGCAGCCTTAAGAGTGAAATATGATTCTTATTTTTATTTGTTATTATTACACTTTTATTGAAGTGTTGATAAAATAATTTTTTTTTCAGAATTTGGCAATCAAATATTTTTGAATACAAATTATATAAGTTATTATAAGTTTATTACTAATAGCTTGTAAATGACAAATATTTATAATTTTTACATTTAAACATGTGATATCTTTTATTATCATGAAATATTATTTAAGACAGGTTTTATTTCACAAAAAAAAATTTTTTTAATTTATTTTTTAAAAAATTCTAATTTTTTTTTTTTGGTTTTATAATGATTTAACAATTATTCATTTATTTAATTGTATATATCAAATTAATTTGTCTTAAGTAAACTGTAATTATTTATAACATTAACTAGGTAATTCAAGTATTATTTAAATTAACAATATTATTAATATGTCCCGATGATCAAACCCGGTAAGTACCATATCCAAGGCAAAAAAAAATTATAATTTCCATTTCAAACAAGTGCAATTTAAATTGAAAAAAAAAACAATATAATAACATTTAAAAAAAGGTGGGTAAGTGGATGTCGCTCTGCTGTACAGTAGGTTACAAGTGCGTCACTGTATAATTGATGCTATTAAATTTGAATTCAATGATACAATATCATTGTATAAGAAAAACGATTCTGAGCGAAGACGGTATGTCAGTCTAGGTTAAGACAAATTATATACATATCTATGGTATTAAAAAAAAATTGACCTATAATAAATTCCAAATTAATCATATCACAATATCCATTAGGTACTTATAACACGTTATACACCAACAACAAACCCTGATACTATCATATATATATAATAGTACACTTTAGAAGTTTCAAGT